CGAAAGGAATTTAATTTTTTCATCCAGGGTTTTCTCCATGTTTGACTCAAACTTTACAGCACTTCTCCTCAAAGTTTTTAACATTTTATTAGACTTAAACTGACTAAAGTGACTATAAAAGCTTCTATCTCATTGGAATCTTTCTCTGATCACTTTCAGGAGTACCAAATGTAATATGAATACTTTTACCTCCTTAATATAAGACAACTGTTTATTTTAAGAATAATAGTTTATAAGATAAACTGTTATTTTAAGAATATATATAATAGCTATTTTTATTTAACATTAATTTCCCTATTCTGAGAATGGTTTGAGCTCCTTTCTTCTTCGACTTTTTTCTTGATCAGAATAAATTTTTTAAAGAAGGGAATAAGCTACCAGTTCCTTTACTTTTTTTGAAATTTTAGAAAAACTCTCAGAAAGATTTGTGGTAGCCTTAAAAGGTAAACATTTGTGGGGTTTACCTTTAGCAATTTCAATTGTTGAGCCAGTTCCTTTTTTTATACTTTTATTTAGTATTCTATTTCTTCTTTGACTGCGTAACTGAGATTGCTCAATATTATTGCATAATATTGAGCAATCTCTAGAGGTTTGCAACCAAATCAGAATTTTTTCATTTTAGAGTAACTATGCCTGCAATAGTTTTACCAGCCTTACATAGATAAGTTTTTCTTATAACCTGGGCATAATCTTGTAGGGTAGGCAAATAATTTTAGAGAAAACTCAAGCTTACAGAAAACTTGAACCAGACCTTCTAAGTTTTATTGATTCAGATGATCTTTTGAAAATCTACATGAGCTCTTTTAAAATGATGTTCTTTACTCTCCTTTTAGAGCAGAGGAGGATTTAATATATTAGGTATCTATAATAATATATGTGTATCTATATTATAATATGGGCATAATTATCTATAATAAAATAAAAATAAAAAGCATAGTCAAAAATAAATATTTTTACTAGAAAATTTTTTTTTGACCAACTTTGAGCGTTCTAATGGTATTTATGTATAACTATTAGATTAAAGACCTTGAAAGGTTGGTATGTGGATATTTTTAAAATTTTAATATTTATAATTATCTTTTTAAATAAACTTTAACTTTCTGTCAGTATATTTAGTTTTTTTAAATAGAAAAAAAGGACTTTTTAGCAGATTTTCAATGTGAATTTTCTAAAAATGTGAAACCTCCCAGATTTTTCTAAATATGAAAATGGTGTCCAGATGTCCAATTATAGTAATAATTAACATTTTTGGGGTAATCGGATTGTAAACTTAGTTAATTTTTGAGTTGTGTTTAAGTTTTGCCACTTTTGAAAAACTTTTTTTTAAACAGTTCACAACCTTAAACTGATATATGCCACAAAAATAATGAAAGCTTGTCTTTTTTTATCGAAAAGCCATCTTTTGCTAGAGCAAATCATGTATAATACGTGTTAATACCTGTGTAATACGTGTTAATACCTGTGTAATACGTGTTTCTTCATTTGACAAGTAGGAGAAGACTAATGTTTTTAAAATATGTCATATTACATATTATGAATAAATAAATTGTTACTATTTGCTTACTAAAAGAATCTTATCAGGAGAAAAAAAGCCAAATATTTGCAGTGGGTGATGGCGCCGTTTATTGTCTACAATTATGAAATGAAAACACTTTTCAACGCGTTGAAAGAATGCATAATGACCCAATAGGCATTGAACGTCCTGAGACATCTTACAGACACCCATTCGATGTCTGTTGGACGTTTTAGGACGTCCAATATCCACTGGGGATAAATACATTTCTAAAAAACTTAGTAAAATATTTTTGATAAAATAAAAAATTAGCAATTAAATAAAGCAATAAAAATATTGAGCTAACTTGAAAAGACAAGTAATTTAAAATTAGGTATTTTACAATTTTTGTCCAAAAAAAATTAAATAATTTTATAATATTATTTGTAAAAAGAAACTAAATTTTTCTAATAAGAAACTAGAATTTTCTTTACAAAACTCTGCCCAATTCTGATTTTAAAAATCTTTATGTCGAAAATGTTAAAAAAAGGGAATTATCTACGTAATTTATACTGTGTAAATATATCTATAACTTATTTATGTTAATTGGTATGAATCTATGTTCATGTGCCATTAATGTTTATTACTATGTTTACGTAAAATATATAGAGGCGGATTCAGCATTTCTTGACGTTTAAGATAACTTCCAGACTTGAACAAAAATAGAAAAATTTGCATGTTTATGCTTATGTCAAATAAGGATTTGGAAAAGGTTCTATGATTGAAGGCTGGGAGCAAAAGGTTCAAAATTTTATAGCTTATGTTTCCAGGTTCCAATCATCGCAATTTTCTGTTTCAAACATCAAGAAATGCTGCATTTGTCCCTATGTATTGTGTGTATTTTCATTTGGTTATTACAGAAGCTTGTAATAACCAAATGAAAAATCTCAAATGTATTTTAATTTTGTTTTATTTTTTTCAGATTTAAACTAAATAAATATTTATCAGCATTAAAAATGTGTGATTCCTTCACAAGTTATTTATAAGATTTGTAATAACTTAGGGTTTACTTTTCCTAAGCAATACACTTTTCAAACTCACTGTAACACACCCTCATTCGACACCAGTATGAAGATTTAAAAAAAATTAAAATTCTTTATTTAGTTATTTCAAACACCAAAACATCCTGGATACGCCCCTATTGTAAATAAGCCATTAATTATTTTAACCTTAGTATAAGTTGATGTTGAAATTATATTTTGATTGTAAATATGTTAAAAGAAAATGTTACTATTGACGCAATAAGTAAATCATTAAAACCATCAACATTCTTTTTAATTGTTATAAAAATATATTTAATACGACAATTTATAAACCATTAACTTTGAATATTTTTTTATTTTTATGTCCATTTATAAACAATGGATTGAACATTGTTTTGTGTTTTTTGATGGTATCGTGATGAAATGATTTTATCAACTTGTACAATAATAAAACAATAAAATCGTAATTAAGGCAAAGTTATGGTAACCAAATTTTTCAAACGCACGTTTTTCTCTTTTTTTATTTTTCAAACGCACGTTTTTCTTTTACTTTTTTATTTTTCAAATGCACGTTTTTCTCTTACTTTTTTTATTTTTTCAGCACATATTTTTTTCATACTTTTACATTTTTTAATTTTAAAGGTTTATGCATAAGTGCCTCAACACTTTAATAAAACTCATAATTTCTTTAAACATCTTACCTTAAGGTAAAAGATTTTTATGTTTGATTTTTGAATTTGTTAGATTTTCAAATCAAGCTTAATGAACCATTTTGAGTAGTATTACTGATATTTTTCAACAGTTTACCTTTCTGAAGTATCATTGATACATAACTGATGCAAGAATAGATAGATTCATAGAATGGCGACACAAAAAAATGAAAAAGACTAAATGAAGCAATAAAAATGTTTATCGAACTTTATGCAATACTAAAGAGAGCAATACCTAATAAATAAAGCTATTTAACAAATAAAGGTCAATATTTAAAATAAATAAAGATATTTAACAAATAGAGGTTGATATTTAAAATAAATAAAGATATTTAACTAATAGAGGTCGATATTTAAAATAAATAAAGATATTTAACAAATAGAGGTCGATATTAATAACCTTTAAACAGCATTTGAATAAAAATTGTTATTCATAGAACTTATATTTAATGTCAAGTTAGTAAACAATTTTCCAATGAACTGATGTAATTTTTGTTAATAATAATTTTGTCCATAAATTCATATTTTGAGTACATAAAAAAGATTTAGCAAAAATTTGTGTATTAATAAACTATTAATGGTATCAAAAATTTTGTTAAACAAAATAAATCATAAATTAGATCAGATAAATCTAATTTATTTATATTATACGTATGATAAGTATTATGCATAATTGCATATAATTATTTATAATATAAGATATTTATCTAAAATATCGAATATTATTACTTTTTATAGCTTTAACAATATTATTTTAATCATTATTGAAATTCTAGCCAATTTATTTGTTTTCACATATATTTTTTAAATGTTTACGACACTTAGGGCGTACTTTTAATAAAGTTTTATTTTGAGTTTAGTGAACTTTTTAATAAAGGTTACTGAAGTTTCCGGCCAAAAAATCGGACAATCGAAGTTATCGAAAAAACATTCATAATGTATTATAAAAGATTTAATACAAATTAAATGGTAAAAGGACTTCAAGAAGTAAATATTTGTCTCGTTTAAAAGAACACTTAGCTTACGGAAAGTCTAGACCTTTTCTCGTTGGTTCTGGAAAATAATCAGATTAATAAAGGCGCATCCTGTTAACCAAAAAATATCTGTAAATACTATTGTTGTTAAAGTTAAGTCAATCTACGTGTTATTCCGGTATACTTCCGTTCTTTATTTTATTACTGATTCAGATAAATCTTTATTCAAATAATAAAACGAAAACAAGTATCATTACATGTCGTCATCGACGCTGATGATGTTAAGAGTTTTAATAAAAATTTGAAATAACATTCAGTTCGCTACAAAACTTAAGTAAATCTACTCGAATATTTTTATTTTAGTAAAATAGTGATAAACAAAATAAAAAGAAAGAAAATTCTAAATAAGCAACCAAAAGTGTTGAATAAGTATTTAATAACTAATACCAAAAGTATTAATTATATACCAAACAAAAGTAAATTCTACTTCATCAAATATAAGTTTATCAGTAAGCACATTAGTGGCAACAGGTAAACTCAGCTGAATCAATTTATAAACATTAATTAATTGATAAACAGCAACAAAATTTATTACGTCAGCTATAACAAATGACTCAAAACATTTTTTTATCAACACAAAAAATAGATTATCGCAGTTATTGAATCGCAATATTTGTTTATCGTAGATAAATAACATTTAGAAACTCGTAAATTTCATCTAACCGCAAGTTCGTTGTTTAAAACTTTAGTTTACTAAATGATAAAGCACAGTAGGTGGTTAAATAAAATGAAAATCCAAACGATAGATACCGATCTATCAAATTATAGCACGCTATGAACATAAGTCATTAAGTGTAAATATTTAAAATCACGTCACAAAAACCTGATAACAAAGACGTGGCACATCTCAGTCAGGAAGATTTTTGTCATCTTCAAAATTTTAAAACATATGCGTTCATAAGATATACATGACGATCACTTTTAAATCAGACAATATTTTTTAATATCTGTTAAGCGTCGCCGTAATTGCTCTCCTTGTTGTGGACTAATCCTATTACTTCATTCATTAAACCGCACTATATAAAAATATTAGCCTTCTTGTTACATATATAAAGATTACACACAAACTGCATTCAGTTTATAAAGTCAAGCACAGTTCGACGTGGACACTTACAAATTCTAACAAAGACCATAAATTCGAAGCACTACCATTTTTCTTATAACATTTAACAAAATAGCTCAAATATTCCGTAAAAAATTTAAATTAAAATAAAAAATTAAAAAGTTATTAATTTGACGTAAAATGGTTGTGGCGGTTCAGGTTTTGCGACTACTTTGGATTAGCCTTATGTTAGTCTCGCATACAAAAGAGTGCATCAAACTTCTTAATCGTAATTGGAAACAAAAAACACCTGCCGAAAGAACTAAAGATGCCGAATTCGTTTTGACTGCTAAGATCTTGTACACAACTCCATCACCACGCTATCCGCAATTTTATTCTGCAACATTTGAAGTCTTAAACGTGCTCAAAGGATGGGAATTGATAAAAAGACTTCATAATAAAAAAAGTACTTCTATTATAAGCTTGGATCCAAAAATTATTGCGACTGCAAATGGTTTTAGTGACAGCTTTCAACTCTGTTTTTCTTCCGTTGAAGTAGGAAAAACATATGCACTTTTTCTTGGGTACAAACGAGAAACCTATGAGCTTGTAGCAAAGTATGATGATCTCTTTGGTGCTGCAGAACAACTTTACAAACGTACAGAAAAAGATATTTTGGAGTCCTTAGGTAAGTTTTTTTGTTGGTTTTAGCGTATACTTACCCAAAACAAAATTTTTTTGTTATTAAGATTACAAATTTTCTAAAAAACTAATTTTTTAATTAGGTAATATAATATTTTTATATAAATTGTTGAAAACGCAACTTTAAGTACGTTACAACTCCAAGATGGGCAATATAACTTCATCTTGATTAACTAAGTACGCTTTTGTTTAAATTTTAGTGAAATCTTTTGTATAAAATATTGTCACCTCCAAATATTTCAAAAAATAAACTTTGCTCATCTAAAACTTTTGTTCAACAAACATTCTTTTAAATTGTTTTGCAAATTAGTTGGACGATTTTTAATTTTTTTTGTTTATTATTTGTTAAACGTATACTTGTTCGACATTGTAAGAAACAGTATTCAAAAATATTAAAACAAAATCTAAAGTTATTAAAAATTTTTATTCAAACATGATGAAACTGCTTTTCAATATAATACTTGTTAATTTAATGTGTTTTAAACAAGATAAATGACAGCCAGCTTAAGTGAAAAGCTTTGTACAATAAAAATAAACACATGTACATAAACAATATGTTAATTTTACAAATCTAATTCTTAAAAAAAATGTAACCTTTTAATAATCTTACATTTGACAAGAGGCGGTAGAGGAGGATCAATGCGTTTTTTTAATTCTTGATTTAAAAAACGTAGTTTTTTTTTTTTTTTTTTTTTTTTTTTTTTTATATTGCTTTTTTTTCTATATCGTAAAAAAACTTAGACTCATTGTAGTATTTAAACTTTTTTTATCTTGACAATTTGCAACTAAACAAAAACTTTTCCAATGCAGAACTGGTTTGTGTGTGTGTTTATAGAGGGGGTGGGGTTGCAAGTAGAATTTTAAAAATATACGTTTCTTAAATAATTATACATAAACACTAGATTATTGTGAGTAAACGTGTATTAAAAGGTGGTGTAGGGGAGGAGGGCGGTAATACGTATTAATATTGCTATCTGATGTAATTAACTATTAGGTAAAACTCTATATAAGAAAGCTTCTCATATAACCAGGGCCGCCGAGACGGAGGGACGAAAGGGACAGTTTGTCCCGGGCGACAGATATCCAAGGGGCGCCAAATGAAAATAGGTACCAAAAAAAAAAAAATAGTTCTACATCTATAATATAGAAGAATTTTGATAACAACGGGCGCCAATCAGGGTGCTTGTCTCAGGCAGAGAGAAGGCTCTTGGCGGCCCTGCACATAACCATTAAATTTGTCATACTAAAGTTTACTGTCATTTTTATTTTAGCTATAAATAAAAGTTTATCAGTTGTGTAGAAAAAATATTAGAAAAAAAAAACTAAAAAAAATAAAAATGCAAGAAAGCAAATAAATAGAACGTTGTAATAACAGAAACACAATATTAAGTATATAAATTCATTAAATAAACTAGCTTTCTTTAATAAGAATTCATAAATTCAACTAAAAGTTAACTTTCAGTTGAGTTGTAAAACGCAAAAAATTATTAGTTATAATTTTGTTAGTGTAAACAACCAACTTTATTTAATGACTAAAGTTTCCTTTAAAAGCTTTTGAATTTCTATCATGGAGCTTTTCCATTTTAAGTAATGGTTTAAAATACAAATTCAGCCGCTTTGAAAGACGATTTTTTGCCGCTTTGAGGGCACTAAAAATTTAATCATTTATTTAAATCTTCATACGTACTTTTTAAGAAGTACTTTTAATTCAAAGTCGGTGTATAATTAGAACTTTAACTACTTATAAAATGGAGCCATTGCATTGTTTTGGATATTAGATTTAGAATTTTTTATATAGATTTTTTTTAGCACCATTATTCATCGTTACTTAGCAACAATAGGAGAATCTAAGTAATTAAGCTACACGTACAATAAGTAAATATATTTTATATTGAAAACAAAAATTAAAATCATAAAAATCAAAAATTAAAACCAAAAAATTTTATTTAAGTTATTTTTAGGTTAATATTATTTCGTAATACAAAAGACTTATGTATTATGACAGAATAATTGAAGTTTCCTATTGTCAAAAACTAAGCCGTGCTTTTTTAAACAGCTAAATATTATGTGGGAACCAAATTACTTTTTTTCGGACCTTTTCAGCTTGCTTTCTTTAAATCTATTTTCAAAATACAAAAATATGTTTTGCAATTATTATTCTATATTTGCTATAGATGCGGTAGTGGTGTAGTGGTAGAGCGCTCGCTTCATAAACGAGTGGTTCCGAGTTCGATCCCCACCACGTCCCTGGTAGTACCGCGCTCAACTCGTTTCTCCGCGCAGCGGCCTTGTTCGTCAAGGTTCGCGTTTCGGAGTTATAGAGTTGAGAGAGGGTTATAGCCACATAATAAGTAGCCTCCTCGTCTGTAGTGGCCTTCTCGGCCTTGAGGAGGTGAAGTAAAATAAAAAAAAAAAAAAAAAAAAAAAATATTTGTAAATTTTATACATTTGTATAATAATTATTATAGCATTGTAAATGGTACACTTTGGCTAGGATCAGAATCATTATTATCAGAATCAGGATCATCACTTTTAGAAATCGTTTTTCAATAAAAAATACTCTCTCTTGGTGAAAATATATTAACTGCTACTGACTATTCTCTTTATGTAAGCCTCCTAGGCAAGCATTTTAGAAGTATTGTAAAAATTTCTGTTTCCCAGTCTTGTACCCTCTTTTCATCTAATCGGCTGGCGCAAATGTAAACCTGTGTTTCATTATTTCCTGCCTAGGATGAATAATGGTGAATCTTTTTAACTCTGTTTATTTTCCATTTATTTTTACTTTTTCCTGCGTGATAGTGGCTACAGAACTCTTACTGTTATCAATTAATAATGAAACAGCTCTAAAGCTCAGTCTAACGAGCTCTGTGGTAGCTCTTAGAAAAGCTGGTTCCATCAACAACTGTAAAAATCTGTGTATTTTAAATGGTTTTGTTATAGTTTTTCTAATTGTACTTTTTGTTTGCACTTTATGCACTATTTGTGAATTTTTCTAATAGTATAAAACAAAGCTATAATGCCAAGAAATAATTCACAAAGCAATCATGCGTAACTTCCCATTCGATAAAGTTGTTTTCTGTAACCTTCACTTTCACTACATTCACCTAGTTTTTTTCTCAAACAGTTTTTATGCTTCTTTTTTTTTTTTTTTTAAACTTAACAGTTTTTTAAGTGTTTTCAAGGTGAGCATGATGCGTTTTTAAACGTTTTTGGACGTTTCTATTGGGTTTAAACTTAATGAAAATGTCCTAAGAACGTTAAAAAAAATGTTCCATGCTAACTCGGTTGTCACCGTTTTCTTTATCTTTAATTCTTTTAATATTTTTTATTTACTTCCAGTTTGAACGGTATTTGCTTGCAACCTTCAACCTTGTAGGAAGTGAGTTTCCTAAAAAAAGAAAAATTTAACTTTACAGAGTAACTTAATTATTAGGTTGGCGCAGTTGGAACGCTTGGACAAGTTGCAACAAACAATGTGATACAGGAATTCAGACACGCACACGCTCGTGTTTAAAAGAATCGCACAGTTTTTGTCATGGTCTATCCGAAGAAAAAAGAGAATGCAATACATTTTCATGTCTCAGTAATCTTTTTGTTAATGAGCTTTGTAATATAGTTTTTAGTATTATTTTTAATATTGATAAGTTTACAATTAGAAACGTTTCAACTTAAAAGGTTATTAAACTTTTTTACAAAACTTTTTAAATAACATTTTAAATGTTTGTTTAGCTTCAAAAGATGCTTTATTAATTATGAAAAATTTAAGAGAAGAATCAAAAATATTTGCTGATCAATGGAAAGCTCGAGATGAAGCTTCTAGTAACACAAAAAAGAAATCAGATGTTCTTTCCGCTCCTTTCAATTTTTTGTTTCCAGATCAATTCCCTATTTCAAATGTTCTTCATATAACTTTTAAAGGTTAGTTATTTAAAAAAAAAAATTTTAAAAGTAAAATTGCTAACCACTCGCCACCCATACTATTATAAACTATCATTTAATTATAGGTCCGGTGAAGGACTCTCAATTCATTTTTAGCATATACAGCGCAAATAATAAGATGATAATGGGAATAAAAGTTTCGCCATTTCAATTTACCATTGAATATGATCAAGTCATTAACAATGCCGTTAACATTCGACATAGCAATCCGTTCCATTATAGTTTTATTCAAGAAATGCTGTATACTCTAGCATTTGTAATGAATCATGAAAACGTACGGTTTTCAATAAATTGCGAAGAATTACACATAAGCTCATTGGAAGACGAACTGTTTCGTGACGCAGATATATTCGGCAGTATTTTTATTGGCGCTGGTGAAGATGCAGGAGAGGAAAGCATACCAAAAGTATGAAAGCAATTACAATACTTTTACTTTAATTCAGATCTTCTTGTTCTTTAATTTCCATAACAACACTTTTGTTTTCAGGTGGAGGTTTCTCATGTATCTTTTTCAAGCGATAGTGAAAGCAGATGGCGTCAATGTGGAAAAATTATTCTTGTAAGAGAAATTAGTGCATTAAATTTATTTTAAAGTTCATTTGTAAAACAATTTTAGCTTTTATTTTAATTCTCAATTCGTAATGTTTAGGAACGACCGCAAAGAAGCTATGACGCAAAAGGCTCTGGATCGGATATTTTAAACGACGGAAGTGGAGCCAATAACTTTGATGGTGATGATGAAAATGATGACGATGATTATGAAGACAATTTCGACGATGATTATAACGATGAAGATGAAAAAGAAAGCAAAAACTACAAAAAAACAGGTTCTGGAAATGGAAAAGGTTTATAATTTAACACTAAAGACTTTAAATGTTGCATAAATTTAATTATTTTTAAATTAACTTTTTGTTCCTATAGAATGTTTATGTCAAAACAACGGTAAGTGCAAAGAAGATGGTACTTGCACGTGCCAAAATGGATGGAATGGCGATTTGTGTGAACTACGTAAGCTTTTTATCGTTTAATTACGTTTTATAGAAATGCTATAATGTTTAATGAAAAAAAAAAATTTTTTTCTCTAGGCGACATTTCTATTCATCATCGCATTGTTTTTCCTGTTCCTTTTTTTTATGATTCTATAATAAACTCATGTTTTTATTGGTAAATTTGTAATTATTATTTACCTTCAATATTTTTTGTAGCAATATGTATACTCCCATGTCTTAATGAAGGTAATTGTTCAAAGCCAAATACTTGCACATGCAAAGCCGGCATCAGCGGAAATTATTGCCAATTGAGTACGTAGATTTTTTTCCTTATCAAAATATTTATTAGAAACTTAAAACAAGAAAAAAAGAATAGTCCTTATTTTAATTTAACATTTACTTTTTTAATTATTTTTTTTCTATACAAGTCTGCAAATATATTGCTTTTTTGTGTTAATTGTAAAATACTGAATTTTGTGTTTAAGGCGAATGTTCTTATCCTTGCGTACACGGGGTATGTGTTGGACCAAACCAATGTCGATGTGAACTAGGCTTTTCTGGTTTACAATGCGATAAATGTTGGTATTTATTTTTTGTTTGTTTATTTTCAGTTTAACAAATTTTTGCTTATCATTCTTGTTAAACAAAAACATGTTTTTATTTAACAAGAATAACAATTACAAAACACGTTTCAAATGTAAACACAGTTTTAAATTACTATTTAAAGACATGATTTTTATTCTACTTATTTACTGTCAATTTAAATTGTATATTTATAAATAATTCTTTGAGTAAAGCCTAATGCTAAAGCTTCTAATAATAACTTTATGTATTACTATTATTTTGCGTCATAATGGAATAATATTAATACTTTTTTTGTCGGTTTAACGTTCAAAGTGCCGTACTTTCTATTTGCCATTACCCTTCAATAATAAATTGCTTACTAAAGTATGACCAAACGTACTTAAATAACCTTTTAAAACAGTTTTATTTTTAGCAAATCGCATAAATGTTTTACTTTTAATTATATTTCGGTTGTAGTTGAAATGAATTGGTTATGACACTTAGCAATTAATAAACAAAAAAAAACTTAATTGAATAGTTTAGTTTATTTTTTTTTAGCAACATGTGAGAATTTGTGTCTTAACGGGGGAACATGTGTGGACAATGTAAGCTGTAAATGTCCAGCTGGATTCAAGGGCGCTCGATGTGAGGAAACCGAGTATGAATAGCTAAAAATCTTAAACTTTATTATTTGCAGTTTATTATACTTATTATGAAAATCTACTTAACTCTAATAAAAATGGTTTTATATGTTCCTACAATTAGTATATGTTATAAGTTATTATTCTTTATTTAGTAAATGTCGGCGTTATTACACTAAGTTGGTAACGTATTCCAAGCTTTTAACGCAATACGTAGAAAAACTTGAAACGATTCCATGCACTGACAATGAAAATACTCTGTGTACAAGAAAAAGGTTTATTTTTATTTTGCATAATTGAAAACTATTATTTTTTAAAAATAGTTAAAAGAAGACTGGGGCTAGCACAAAATGGTTAATACATAAGAAGTAGTTAATATAAAAATAACGTAAAAATGAATTCTATTTTTTTTGTTGTTGTAAAAACGTAGTAAGTTAACGCAATATTCTAATTTTTTTAATACATTCTTTGATTTTATTTGTTTTAGATTAGTTTCACAAGTTATCAACAAAGTATTTTACAGACCAGAGTATGTTTGTGATTGATGAAAAGAATATTTAGTAAATTGGAATTTCAAAGCATTGCTTTTAAGCATTCTGAAAGCATATCAAAGTTTTGTTATGAAGCATTCTAAATAATTTTAAGAGATTCGATAAGATTTCAACCAAGGGATGCCCACCAGAAAAAAACAGAAAGACAAAATGGCTATGTACATGCTTTTTATATTACATGTTTTACATGAAAAACTCCGAGAAATTAACATGGTTCTTGTCATAAATATAAAACAGCGTTAAGGTTACGCAAAGCAAAATCAAAATATTGTTAGCACATAAAAGACAGATAATTCCTAAAAAATCTTCTGAACAAAATTTTTTAAATACCGTAATCTCATAGATGCTCTCCGCATGTTTTGTATTACAAGATAATGATATAGATGCTCTCCGCATGTTTTGTATTACAAGATAATATACAAGATGATATTCAAAATGTAAAATACTAGATATGTAATATTAATAATAATAATAATAATATATATATATATATATATATATACATACATATATTTATATAATGTAATGAAAAGTTTATCAAATTTGAACAACCAATAGATGATAATGAAGTATTAAACTCAATTGTTATGTAAAAACCCTTAAGCCTATGACACACTTAAGAAAGTTAAAACCTTAGTAACAGCTCTTAGAAAATTTCAGTAAAAGACTGAACAAGTATTAAATAGAGATTATTTAATAGTTTAAATTTCAATTTATACTTATCAGCTTAATTTTCTTTGAGTAATCATTTAAAAGTACAAATGCTCGCTTTTTGGCTTTTACATTTACAAAGCTTTTAACTAAGCAGCCCTAGCGCAGTGGTTAGCGCGCTTGCTTCAGAAGCTAGAGATCCGTGGTTAAATGCTACCTTTGGGCAAGTTTAACAACATCGGTAAGGAAGGAGGCGTAGACTTCCTTTCAAATGCTCTTCCGCGGTGCTCTTTGATAAGACCGTAACGACATTTTGGGGCAGATGAAATAAAAAAATTAAAAAAAGTTAAACAACCGCTGCATTTCTAATGAGGCTCAATGTTTGTGAACAATGTTAGTAATGTGTTACATTACTAACAATGTTAGTAATGTGTTTGTAACAAAACTGCTGTTTGTAATGTGTTTGTAACAAAACTGCTGTTAGTAATATATTTGTAACAAAACTGCTCAAAACCATTTTTTGTCTTTTTTTCAATTTATTAGAAAAAATATATTTGAGATCATCATATTGATTACCTTGTTTTGAGCTACTTATGTATGGTCTGAACTCAATAGCTGTTTAGTTAATACGTCTGGGCTGCAACCGATAAAAAAAAGTTTTTGACTAAATTTTTGTCTGTTCTTCCAAAAGTGTTTGTTTCGGTCGAAATTGTTTGCTTCGGCCTTCAACTGTCTTCTATGAAGGCTGGCTTTGTATAAATTATTATTGTATTATGTATTTTTTTTTTTTTAAATAATAACGTTTATTAAATTGCTGTTCCCGTTTTTTGAACTATAATATAAATAACCTTTACAAATAAAGTACATTTAAGCAAAAAAATATATAAATTTAGTGCAACAGCTACACCTGTAATTCTGGCATCACTGCAAGGTAATTTTAGTGATACATTGCAATTTTAGTTATACATTGACGTCCAATATGTCATCGCCTTCGCCAAACGCTGAATTCATTTTAGAACAATGTTATCGTTAGTTTATTTTGTGCTCTTTTATAATAAATTGTGATCCTTGCCCTATGCAACTCCTATGTTGGTTTTTTGATATCGGTTTAATGTTAATTTTATATATTAGCGCAATATTAAAATGTGATATCAAAAAAATATTGGTATTAAAATTCTATAGTCAATACATTAAATGTATGTCATTAATATCACAATATTTAATAATAATAAATAAATAATGATTGTAAAATTGTGACGAAATAAGATTTTTTCGGCAACATGCATCAAAATTTCATGCATAGTTGGAGACATAGAACACTAGCTGTAAAGATTTATTTACATTTTAGCAGTTTCATGGGCAAAAACGTCAAGTTTAAAAGTATCGAAGTAATGTTTACATGAAATAAATTCCAAAATAACGTGGAAACGTTTAATTAAATCTAATTTCAGTCATACATAAAGAGGATTTTAATAAACTTATTAAAATTTTTTGACATATCCCCCCAAATATAGCAACTTATAGATGTAGTATCATTTGCAGCATTGTACACTGTTAATATTTACCTCCTATTATTTTAAAAAAGGTATGCTTTATTTTTATTGGGTATCTTTGTTTCCCTGAGATATGTTATTAAGTTTTTCACGTGTTTTATCTTGTCCATTGTAATGTATTTAAACTCAGTAATGAAACATGTTTGTATGAGTGTGTACCTTGTAGAAATTAATGCTTGTAGTTCAATTTTGGCTGTGGTTTCGGTAACTTGTATCGATTCCTTATCAAGGTAACATTTAATTTTGTCTGTTGTATCAAAAAGTAGCATGGTTAAACATTTCTGTTTCTATTTTAAGTAACTTCCACTATTTTCTGATAAAATTACTTTCTGCAACTAGAATCAGTACCTCTTAAGGTGTTAATTTATGACAATTTTTTTTTTTAAAGCAGAGTTAAATCTTTTTTGGTATTTCTTTATACCAAAAAGTATTATACTTTATATTATCAGTATTTGATAATATAAAGTATAATACTTTTGGTATAAAGAAATACCAAAAAAGACTGACTCACTCTGGCTCTATACGTCAACTCATCAACAAATAGCTGCTTGCACACAGATCCTTAGTTTTTTTTTTCTTACGTATATGTAGTAGAATTTTCCAATAACTTTTGTTTGCATCTAGCTTTGTAAAATCTTTGCATAAAATAGTCTAGTTGATAATTCTTGGAAAGTAGGTTGCTTCTAATGTTTTCATAGCTTTATTCAAGTCTCTTGAATCCAGACAGAGTCTTAATTGTACATTTGGTTTTTTCTTTAATAAACAAAAAGTTTATCCATTCAAATGGTTCATCTGCTTTTGTTATTACTTCAATTTTTTCCATTTTATCAATCTCTTTTATTTTCCTTAGAAGCTGACAGGAACATTTCTTGGAGAAAGAATAACAGCTTCTTTAATTCGATATGATGTTTAGATCCAATCACCGATACCCAGTTCACCATCCCATTAAATAATTTCAGATACATTTTTAGTATTTCCTATTTATATTTTAAATTTTTTTCCTTGTTTTCCTTTAATCTGTTTACTTTGCTTAGAGTAGATATTTCTTTTAAGAACAAGTTTGCTTTTTGCTTCCACTCTACAGCACTTGATCAACTATTTTCAGTTTTTGTAGTAACACATCATTTTTGTTGTTCCAATCTCTGAAATGCCATTGCCACCATGACTACGCAGTTTGATTTTTGTATGAGTAAGATTATCACGTGATATTAGTTAATCAACTTTAGCTCTGGTGTCAATTTTTCCACGTACGATTTTCAAAATTAAAATTAAATTCAAAAAGATTGTAAAATCTTTGTTTTAAAAATTTCTTACACCAATTTCAACATGGTATTCAATAGCAAAGTTTTCGTTTATACTTTTTATGTTGCAGCAGTTTGTTCAACACTTTTTTTTTTCATTTGTGGAACATTTGACCAAACGTTGGACAGTTTTTTGGTTTATGCGTTCTATTACATTTTTTATACAATTTTTGTTGTTGATTTGTTTTTGAAAGTTTCGTCTTCTTATTCCAGTTTTTATTTCATTTGATTCGACCCACTTTGCTTTTTTTTGTGACACCTTTTTGTTATTCGAAAATTATTTCCTCTTTTGTGTTTGTCCGATTGACGCATATTTAGGTATATAAACTAAATAATTAATTATATATTCTTGTCCTGATCGTAGTTTTTCTGTTCAATTCATTTACATTATTACATCAATGATCACAATTCATTCACATTATTACATCAATGATCACAATTCATTCACATTATTACATCAATGATCACAATTCATTCACATTATTACATCAATGATCACAATTCATTCACATTATTACATCAATGATCACAATTCATTCACATTATTACATCAATGATCACAATTCATTCACATTATTACATCAATGATCACAATTCATTCACATTATTACATCAATGATCAAGAAAAGAAAGACTAAAAATATTTTCTGATAATTCTTTAATCCTTTATTTTTTTTAGGTTATTTATTTTTATTATGTATTTTTGTGCACTGTTTGCATTATTTGTTAGTTAAATTGTTTTCGTTATAGATAAACAGTTGAAAACTCTTTTTCTATAACGATAACGATAATTTTCACTTATTCGACTATATTATTTGTTTACTAGTCTAGAAAGAAACATCGTAATAGCAGAGCTAATCGAGACGAGTCCCTTTCGTACCGAAGTACAAAATATGCTGAGTAGGCGGAACCAAATATATGCTAAATATATGCTGAGTAGGCGGAGTCGGTATTTGAACCTGCAATCCTGCTCCTACAGCCAATAATTATTCCGATCTTATAGCAGCGCTTTAACCAACTGAACTATCACATATGTATGTAACATTTCTGTAAGTCTATGTTGGCGCAGTGGGCTCATCCTTCAAGTATTTATCCTAAAGTACTACAATAAATAAAACATTTTTACAATGTTTTTAACAAAATTAATTTTAAATTAAGGTTACAATTTTGGAAAAATGTAATTCACAAATGATGTAATACATTTAGTCAACGAAGGTTTCAATGTTGAAATATTTGTTGATAATTTTTATTTGTTGAAAAATTTAACAAATTGATATTCGAACGGGTTGTTTCATAACAACATTTTATACAACATTTCATAGAACAACATTTCATACAACATAAGCCGTTTTTGGACAGAAATAAATTAGTGCAGAATCATTTTATTTGAGGGTTAATACAAGTTCTCATAAGTCAGGCCTTATAACATGACTTGGATTGCGAGTTTGACTTCAGAAACACCTTAAGTCACTGACTTGTAATGTTTCTATATGGAACAGCTTTTGCAGTGTGATCTGATCATGCAACAAATGAGTATTTTGTTTTATTGATTCAATTCATTTGATTGGAGGTTATATTTTCATCTTTTTGTTGATGTGCTGTGGTTTACTAGTTCATAGTGACTGATTTATGAGTATTTAGATATTGATTTAATGATTTATGAGTATTTATATGTTGATTTAATAAAATAGCCTACTGACGACACCCATATTCCAAAAAAAAAATAAAATTGGGAAAATTGGAGAAGTAAATAAATCTACCTACAAAAGTGAAACAATAAAGAAAGCTCCGTTGCTGGAAGCTCCTACACAAACTACTCTAAGAAGGATATACCTAAAGGAAAGCCTGAAGAAAATTAAAAGTAACTTAAAATAAATTTTTGGATGTATATTGTGCATAATAATATTGCAAAACATATGTATTGTATAAACTGATAAAATTTTATTTTCCATTAAAACAAGAGGTCAAATTTTTTACTAAAAGTGATACAAAAATTACATAGTAAGTCAAATTTTAATCAATGCTCTGAAATATAAATAAAACAACTTTTCTCAAATAAGTGGACAATTGGTTTATAAATAGTCCTGTTTATTTTGTATTAGAAAAATAAAAAAATAAGAAATACAACTCATCATCAACACACTATTATTTATTTAAGTATAAAGCTGTTAATATGAAGAAATTATTTAAATTAGTCATTCACCCCAATTTTTTCATAAAATCAGGTATTTCCGGAAAATATGATGGATTGGACGCTTTTTCTAAAATAGATAATAACTATTTATTTTAAGATATATATATATATATATATATATATATATATATATATATATATATATATATATATATATATATATATATATATATATATATATATATATATATTATATATATTATATATATATATATTTATATATATATATATATTATATATATATTATATATATATATATATATATATATTTATATATATATATATGTATATATATATATATATATATATATATATATATATATATATATATATATATATATATTTTATTTTCTGATGAGTCTTTGTTGATGAAACACAGTGTAAAATGAAAAAAATTTTTGTTAAGTGATTTTCTACTAATTTATAATTGCTCTGTTCTTTTAAAAACATTGAGCACTCTATTTTGTAGAATACATTTTAAAAAAATTTTTTTAATTGTTTAAAGTCTCTAAATAAATAAATTTCATTGTCCCAAAATGTTTTATTTAAATACAATTTCAAAAAATACACTAATACAAAAACTTATATTTTAAATTTATTAGAACTTGAGGCCATTCAAAAAATTATCTGCTATGTTTGTTATTGTTACAAAATTACTTTAATACAAAATAATTTAAATTACACATGGTTACCATAAGCAACTATTGTAATTAATAAATTTTATTTTAATACAGGAAATTGCAATTAAATGTATCATGCTTTTAATTATGTAGGGGAGGGTGGATAGCATGAGCTACGGGTAGGAGTGAACCATTGATCCTAAACCATAAAAGGGCCAAAGAATGGCTTAAAATTTTTACCTTGTAACCATTTGGAAATTATTGTTAAGATAATTCAATTTTTAACCGTATTTTAGTGCGGGTGTTTGTGTTAGCGACGTATTTCACTTTTTTTTGTTGCAAAAGTAAAATTTTTGGTACTTTTGAAAGTTCTTTTATAAACACATTTACTATTTTAAGACATCAGATAGTTATAGAAAAATAACGTATAAACAGTTTAGTATCTATAACAAATTGTTTTTTTATTCATAAACCTCGTACTTATTGTACATTTAACACTTTAGTCCAGTTGCACAGTTTAGGGAGGAACAAGCCATTCCTTCATGGGTAGGAGTAAACTGCGGATCACTTGTACTTTAAGTACACTAATAGTGTAAGTTTTACGTTAAAAAAAGTGTTGTCGTTTGCATAAAAATATTATCAAGTTTGACTTTAAATCTTTCAAGTGTTACAGTGCTTCGAGAGAAGATCTACTTTAAAAGTGTATAGAAAGTGTGTAGAAAATCTACTTTAAAAGCAAAAACTTCCATTAAAGATATGAATAAAGCATTAATTTTAATCCAAAAATGAAAAAGTATCCGAGATATGGCAAAAACGTTCAAGATCCCATATATAACATTTCGTTGTTGAAAAAAAAATGCTGGTTAATGAAAATATTAGATTGACTCCGAACTAATATATTAAAATAATATTCAGAGATGAGCAAGAGTTAGAACTGATGAATGTATTCTGACTTGCTCAAGAATGTTCTATTCTTGAGCCTTCCAAAAAAAAGAATGTCAACGTATAGCTTATGAGATGGCAACTACCAATAAAATTAATTTTTCACAAAAGTTGTGCAAGGACTCCATGTTAGGTATCGAATAACAGTTTTAGAAAATGAAATCCAGATTTGTCCCACAGAACACCTGAAGGATATTCTCTTTCTAGGGCAACATCATTTAATGCCGATAATGTAACTATATTTTTCGATAAATTAGAAGAAGTTCTTGCAAGATCAATAGCATTCACAAATGGAACACAGATTTTTAACCTTGGTGAAACTGAAACTGACACTGTGCAGAACCCACAATAAGTATTTACCATACTTTTTGTGGGTTTTGCACAGTTTTCAATTGTGTATTTTTATTAATTTGATTTTTTTTTAAACTACTTGATTTTAAGGTTCTTGCGAAGAAAGGAGTTAAAAGTGTCTGTAAAGTTACAAATGGTGAAAGGGAAACCCTTGTCACAACTTGTGTTATAATTAGTACTTCGGGACAATATCTTCTATCAGTACTTATTTTTTCACGAGTGTATTTTAAGGAACATATGTTGTCAGAAGCTCCGTCTGGATCTCTCGGAATCTCATGTAAAACAGGCTGGGTGAACAGTGAAATCTTTTTGGATGTTATGAATCACTTTATAAGATTTTCATTGAGCACTAAAGAAAACCCATCGTTACTAATATACGACAACTGCTAAGCTCACTTATCCATAGCAGTATTAAATAAAGGATAGGAGCATGGAGTGACCATTTTGACATTACCACCTCATTCCAGGGGTATACCCTTGTAGTCTCCCGGTGGCACGGGACAACTCGGTATCTCCAAGGGCAACTGAAATTAAAAAAAAATACCTGTCAGTAGCCCGACAGGACAACCAGACAGTTTCAAAAAGAAACGACATGAAACAGATATTGACTACGATAAAAATAACGGTCTTTAGAAGTTGTATTTATAGTTATATCTTTACCAATATCTCTTTGTAACAAAAATTATTTAGCAATATTTTTTAACAGGTTATAACTTTTCAATTTTTCTTAAATTAATTAACTTACTTTTAATTCAACCGTTTCTTATAAGACGTTTTTTAGAAGTCAGACGTTTAAAATTTTTTTCTTCAGTATTTTCACCTGAGAAAAAACACCATAGAAAAACTATTATACCGGACTACTGATTATCATTATGGACGAATCAAATGAGAAAAATTTTTTCAATTGCCCGCAGAAAAACCTTTCCTATATCTTTCAACAAATGGAAACCCAACGGCTACTAATATTAAAAATTTCAACATACTTCAATCTCCACTTCTTTTTGATTTAAATAAACCAGTCGATACTAATTTTGTTATGCTTAATCTGCCTATATCATCAGATTCATCTATATCATCAGATTCATCTATATCATCAAATTCATCTAAATCATCAGATTCATCTACGTCATCAGATTCTTTTATCAGCCCTAAACAATTTAGAGGCTTTCCTAACGCTGAAAAAAAGAATTGTAAAAGAAAGGAAAGAAAAAAGGGTCGATCTGTGATTGCCACAGAAACTGCTGAGAGAGGTCGGATTGAGAAAAGATCCTGCAATAAAAAGTTAGTCAAAATTACTAAAGATATACAAGCCAGTTTACAGAATAAAAACCGTCAGAAAAAGGTAATTCAGTATTGGAGCATTTAGAGATTTCAGGTGGGAAAGGTTTAATAATCCTAGAAGATGACTTTTGTGATCGTGATTTTAACCCTTAAGAAGAGGACTTTGTATAGTTAAATTTGGAACAGGAAAAAAGACTACATTTTCTATTGGAAAGGTATTGTATTCAATTTCTGTTATAGAAGAAGTGACAATCAGTGTTCTTTGCAAAAAAGGTGGTATTCTTAAGATGCCCGATTCACCTGACATTTTGACTGTCCTTCTAATCAATGTTAAGTTTATACTACCTCAACCAATATTTTCCGGAACAAGTAAAAGGCAGCATTTCCATTACAAGTTTAAGTTTGTGCTTGACTATATTAATATTCGTTAACTATTAATTTTATGGGTAATATATGTTATTATTTATTAATTTTAAAAATTAATTTTTATATTATTACTTAGTTGTTATGCTTATAAGTAAATTATCTGATCCTTACCTAATTTTTACTTGATTATTTAAAGACAATACCCAACTTTAATTTTTATGTAAATAAAGCTAATGACTCATTCCTACCCGTTCCTTGGTTCACTCCTACCAGTGTATGGATAGAAATGAATCAGCAGGAACACCTGTATTATTTTTTAAGTCTATAAAAATCTGAATATATTTTGATTGAATTTTTTTATTTCTATTAGAATTTTAATACACCAAGCCACTTTAGTACTTTAACTGCTACTTTAGGCACCTTATCTTTTTTTTTTCACTTTTGGTGTTTTTGTTATAACCGTTTAAAAAACAAGGCTCACTCCGACACCTACTCCTCTAAATGCTTTTTAAATGATAATAAAAAAAACTCTATTAAAATATATTATCAAGACCATCTTTTATCAGTTTCAACATATGAAAAAATAAGACTTGAATCTAAATAAAAAATTTTTAACAGCCTAATTAATTAATGGTGTAACTCTAAATGGAGTAATAACTTTAAATGGAGGTTTAGTAGGTTATATATAACTTCTAAAATTCATAATTGTCAAGAAATTATTGACAAGGTAAAATTGTCCGACTCTTTATTTCTTGAAATGAAACCATTTTTTACAAAACTAATATATACAAAAAAATTTTTTTGTATATAGTAATTTTGCAACTATTACTAAAACTACTGACAATTTTTTGAAAGGCCTCTAGTGCTAATAAATTTAATAAAGTGAAAATTAAATGGCTATTTAACAATTTTGTATAACACACACACACACACACAAACACACACACACACACAGAAGTACACAAGCACTTTAACCAATTACACAAAAATTAACATAATTAAAAAAATAATAACGTTTAACTGAGTAATCTATGATAATAATAACGATAATAATAATAGTAATAATGATAATAATAAAAATAATAACGTTTAACTGAGTAATGTAATAAAACAAAAGCGTCAATAATTTAAAAACTGGATAATAAACAAAAGCATTAAAGGATTTCACTGATTATTAATTGATATGATCAATGCATGAATACAATCATGTCATCTTAGTTGCACTAATGATAAAATATTCATCATCATCGTAATACATTGATAAGTATTTCGTTATTAAAGTAAAATGTAAAAAAAATTGTAGGAATTAAGGCTCTGTTTACTTGCATAGAGTAGAGAGCTGCCTAGGGTAAACTTTTTTATTATCTAACATAATTTCGCCCATCACTCAATCTCGCGCACCATCTTTAATTGCTTATATGTCAGTTAACTCACACGCTGCACCATTAAAAAGACGTTCTTTTAGAGCAGCAAACCAGCCTTATCAACATCAAAACAAATTTGACCTCAAAAGAATCACAAATAAAAATCTCAAAGAAAATTTGTTTCTTTTTTGGTAATTTTTTTGCTACTTAATTTGCCGAATTCAAATCAGCTGATGCAAATCTACCGAGTTAATTATTTATTATGCATGTTAAATTATAATTTCATTTTGTTCTCAACTGTTTAATCTCTGATTGTAATAACATTTATAATCGCTTGAAATCGTAGAATATGCATAAAATTGTTTTCTGCTCAACCTACCAAATTAACTCAATCTCGCCCACAGAATAATTATATTGTCTCCTAATGCATTTAATCTCGTTCGGGTGGGAGAGAATAGATGCAGCATAATATATTCAGACTTACGCTACCAGCAGTTTTAACAAAAAAAACCTTTTGCCGTGACCCTTATTATTTTTTCATTAAATTGGGATGACATATTCAAAAAATAATTGAAAAACAAAATCATAAAATTTTGTAAGGGTACATATTAAGAGCATAATCTTTTTTAATGCTAACAAAGGAGTATTTTTTTATGTATTTTTATTCTATAAATTATTGAGGAAATTTTTTTATAAATCTATTACCCTTATTTCAACATCCTAGGCATTATCGTAAAAATGAACCCCAAACTTACTTGATAATTGCTTTGACAAAAATTGATGATATTTACGTTAGTTTATTTTTGACTCTCCCTCTGTGTATTGTTATTAAGGAAATTGATTAAAAAATAAATGGCTATGGCTCTGCGTTGAGTAATTGTATAAAAAGATCATGTTCATCAAAACCAAATAAATAGATAAAGAACAAAGAAAGTATTGCAAATAGGTAAACTTTATCTGCTATTGCATTTTCCTTTCCTGATAATTATTGGTAAGAAAGAATTTGGAATTTTATCTTATGCTATGCTTTTTTTTTAGAAATAATTTTTTAGTGTCTAGAAATAATGCATACTTTATTTACGATTGTTTTATTTATTTTCAATTTAAGAACTAATGTTTTAGTTTTTAAAATAACTAAAACATTAGGTCCAAAACGTCAGGTTCAAAAGGTTCAAAACTCATTTTATGCATAATAACAATATTTTTATTCTTCTTTAAAAGACTTTTGTAATTAATTAGCTAAATGCTTATTTATTTCATTTTAAATCAAGTACTGCGAAGTTCAAGGATTGAGACTAGGTTACAAATACTAACATATGGTTTTCACCACGTGTTAATATTTGTAGCTCTTGTAAATTTGGAGCACTTTATTCAATTAATATGACATTCATTCTGCAATTTAACTTATCAAGGTTTTGTCTTGAAAAAAAACATGGTTAAAACAAAAGGTGGGGGATGTACATCATCACAAAGATTTCACTGGACTTCGGTTGAAAAGATTGTTTCTGTAACAGAGGCTACTATATGTTATAATACAACTCATCTTCATGATGGTATAACTCCTTCAACATCTGGTAGTAGTACTCTTGACATTTGTCAAATGAAACAGCTACCAAAAGCTGATGTTTCTTTAACTCGTATCAATAGTTCAAATCATTCCATTGATTAATCAGTCACAGTTAAGAAACGGGGTAAATTCCTGCAAAATATGATGAGTGCAATTAAGCATGTCAGATCAGAGTCAGTGCGTAGGGAAGCAATATTGTATAATGTGCCACGCACAACACTGAGAAACTGACTTTCTGGAAAAGTTATTATTGGAGCAAAGCCAAGAAGAAAACTTACCCTACCTTTTGCTCTGGGAGAAAAACTTATCGATTATGCCAGCAATAGGGGTAGGTTTTGGAAAGTCACAGTTCCTGAATTATGCTGGAAAACTTGCCGCAAAATATAAATTCAACTTTAAGAAAGGACTTCCAAGCAACCAGTGGTGGACTAGGTTCAAAAACCGGTATGGGCATAAATTTACTCTGCAACAACCTAAGTGTACAGCTTCAGTTCGACATCAGTGTACGGATAAAGGTAAAGCGTCAAAGCACTTTAGCACTTTAAATGACGTCATGGTGAAAAATGGTTTTCACGTTAAACCAGAATCTATATGGAATATGGATGAAACTGGTCTACAACTTGACATAAAACCAAGAAAAGTGCACAAAAAGGCACAAAAAACCTCCATAGTCGAACGAGTGGAAATCGAGAGTCAATCACTGTTATTGCATGTGTAAATGCACAGGGCAAGAGCAACAACATAAAAAAGAGTGTTTAAAGACCTCTGATATTATCTGTTGAATCAATTTAAGAACGTAACAGTTTTTATAATGCTTTTAGCAGTAAATTTTTCATTGTAAGTGTACTGAATACTTCTTTCTTAATATTGAAATCTTTACGCATTATTGTATTATTATTAGAACTTAAACTACATTCATAGCACTGTGATAAAATTGAGTCAATTCAGTTCATAAAATTGAATCAATTTAAATAAAACTCAATGTCACTTTTTGTGTCATTTTCAAGATTACAAATGTAATCATTAGTGTAGTAACAATTTTTAGTTGAATTGATTAACTCTTATTGATTAAATCTTATTAATTGAAAATTTCTTAGATATTCTTAAAACAGAAAATGTGACTTTTTTGCATAAATTTAAAACATTTCCACTAAAACAGTAAAAACCTTTGAATATAAACTGTATATAACATATTTAAAATATTCACAAATGTTAATTTATGATAATTACAGTTTTAAACTGTATGATTGGCTCGATTCATTTTGATTTTTAAAATTATCTTTAGCACCAAAAAGTTGCTAAAGATAATGGGGATATAAAAATTATTAACTGTATTAATAAAAATTGAAAATTAGGAGCATCTCTAAGTTTAGGTTTTGGGTATGTTTATCCAAATACGCCTACCTGATAATTTTGTGAAGAAATAAAACTTAAACCTAAACACGTTATCTTCCAAGATTGACTTGTTAGATCAATTTTGTCAAGATTTTAAATTACTCCATTACTTCTCATTAATGAATTAGAACTTTCTTTACAAAAAGAAAATGGTTAAAAAGCAATAATATTTCATTAATGCTGTCCTATAAGCTGGTGCTTATAGGACAAAAAGATATGTTTTTTTTTTGTTTGTTTGAACAATCATCTTTATAATGGTATAAAAAAACATGGTATAAAAAAACATGGTATAAAAACATGGTATAAATGGTAAAAATATAAAAATGGTATAAAAAAAACATGGTATAAAAACATGGTATAAAAAAACAGCAACTGCCAATGTTAAGCATACAGGATGCATAATGTATTAATTCTTTAATTATCAATTTATATAAAAGTAAATAAATTAAATATCAGTTTTATATAAAAAATAAAAATACTATTACATAATAGAGCAATATTTATTTATTTATATAAAATGAACAAAAACAACTTTGGATAGAAAAAAGTTTGATGAAGCTCAGTTCCATCAAAAGTTGTTTTTATTCATTTTATATAAATAAATAAATATATAATAATATAAACATATAAATAAATAATAATTTTCAGCGTTTTCTGCTTTTTTGCGATGAATATGGATTTTAAACTTTAAATAATAATTATTATAATAATTTTAAATAATAGATTTTAATTTTTTAAACAGTTTTTTTTGTTATGTTTTAATGTTGAGCCTGTTATGTATAGTAAAATAAGATAAAACAATAACATACCATGCAATAATTTTTATTTTAAAATTGTGTTTATTGTACTTACTATATAATGCTTGTAAATACAGTTTCTGTTTATTAATATATATATACACACATCAACCAGTTAAATTATTAATAGAAAAATACTAACTGCATATAGGACAGCACTGTCCAGCTTGTTTATAGATATCGGCACCTGGGCAATTTAATGTAGGGCATTTTACTATCTTGCATACGGCGTATTCATATTTTAAAATACCTTTGCACTCACAGTTACTGCATGAATTACGACGATCTATAATAAATTTTTCTCCTAGCGCATATCTAGTATCAGTGGTATCAGTGCAACCTACAATAATTAGAATAGCAATTTTTTATTATTTTCACCATTTTAAGAATCATTAAAACTTTTGTTTTGTAACTTTGTAAAAAAAAAAAAACTTAATACTTACCACAACGGGGACAACATTCGTTTGGAAGATTAACAACAGAATGACAGTGGGAGGTAGAAGGGCAATATATATTGTTGCATGGATTACTAGGCGGTACTAAATAATTAAAAAAAAAATGATATAAATCAAAAAAAAAAAAATCAAAAACAATTTATCAATAATGGGAAAAAAGGATGATTAGCAAATTAATTATTGAATTTAGCGCTTAAAAAAATTGAGGGTACTATACAAAAAATATATAAAGTTAATTTATAAAAAGTGAAGGTTAAAATCCGGATCAGTGAAGTGTTTGCTGTTTAATAAAGATTTTGATTGGTACAGTTTTTTTAATTGGTACAGATTTGCAAGTTTCATAATAATATAGATAAAGTTGTTTTGCACGTTGAGTATCGCGATTAACAGACGCGTTTTTTTATGCAGTTAAATTTGTTTGATGATATTTAAATAGTTTTTATCATTTTCAATTTTTTCACAAAATAGTTTAATTATATATAATATATATAATATACAGATTTATTATATGAAACATATATATATATATATATATATATATATATATATATATATATATATATATATATATATATATATATATATATATAATATGTATATACACCTTAAAGATGATAGCAAACTTGATTTTTTTTTTGAGCCATCTGTTAGACGCAAATAAAACGTCTGACTTTTTTGCAAATTTTTGAGATGTTAAAAAGAAGTTAAAAATGAGACATCTAAAAGACGTTTCAAAACCAATAACATGATATGTGTCTTTTTTTCAGACATCTGTTAGACGCAGATGAGACGTCTGATTTATATGCCAACTCGTGAGACATATGAGATAAAATGAGACACCTAAACGACGCCTAAAAGACGATAAATTTAGATGGTTTTTTTAGACGTCTGATTGACACCAGTGAGACGTCTAATTTTTTTATAAATTGTTTACATATATTTTTCATTTTTTCAAATTTTTCAGTTTTCATTTTTTTTTTTTTTATGAAATTAAAAATTTCTTTAAATTTCGTTACTAACATTAATAACCAACGTTAATGATACCATTGATTTAATAGTCTCTAAATACTTCAAAATTATTTTAACCGAAACAGTTTATACACATATGTTAGCTGATGGTCTGTGGTCAAGCTTAGGGTCAGGGTTAGGGTCAGGGCTAGCAGGTTAAACCTTGAAACATTGACATCAATTTGTGCGAAAAAACCTTGTAGTAAAAACAATGAATTGTGTAAATAAGATGTTAGTTCACAACATCCAAGTAAGCATTTGCAATTTTGATTTATTTTAAGTCTTAAATATCATTTTAGATGAACGATGATTAATCAAACTAAAATAACCTGAGATCTTAGACATTTAGGCACGTTTTTTGTAGATAACTTTAGGAAAGTAATTTTTTATTAAAAATCATTAATTTTGGTAAGTCGGGTAAAGTCTATAAACGGTCTGAAAACTAATTTAATTTACCACAAAGTTGAGAGCGACGATTTTCCGTTTATTAAATATCGATGTACAAATATTCGTTTAAAAATATTCGTTAAAATTATTCGCAAACGAATTTTTGTGAAAAATATTTGTTTAAATTATTCGTAGTGTTCGAATGTTTTCATAAATCTATTTATGAAAACATTCGAACAATACTATTCATTTAACAAATATGTACTCGTCGAACAAATAAAAGGTAACAAATAAACATTCGTGTTCATTTATTTGTTCAACGAATATATATTTGTTAATCAGATATACAACTGTATATTACGAATATATTAATATATTTTATTTTTAAAAAATAATATATTTAAACATTTAAAAATGTTAAACGAACATATAGGTAATGTGATTTATTATAATACAGCTAATTGATATATGGAGTCACGTTATACCTACAGTCTGTAAGTATATTGCCAACAACAACTCCAGGCCACAAGTTAAGTCACTAACCATCAACAAAGTCGTCATTGACATCTGCAGGTGGAAATGTTTTAGAAAAAAATATGCTTAAAGATAAAAAGATAGAAGTAAAAATGTTAGAAAGATGGCATATAGAAAAGAGACAGAACAGCAATAATAAGGCTCATCGTCAATAGACGTCACGCTAAGTTTATCGTTTAAATAAAAGTAAGAGAATATTGGTTCTTTTGCACAGATACTTTTAAAGTATTACTTGACTTAATAAAAATCTCAGCGCGAAAGAGAAATTTGTTTATTTCAAAATTGAATTTAGCGTGACGTCATTATGAACGACCCTTTAGTCACAAAACTTAAAAGACGCACTTCATTTCCGGGTCTATTTAAATTTTATATCCAAAAGTATTTTTTACAGAAATAATAAGAGATTTAAGTTTTACATTTTTTACAACAAATTTTTTTTTTTATCAATTACAATTTTTTTGGCGAACTTGTTTCAAGTGTTGCACTTTGGATTCTCATATGACATCATGTCTGAATGCTTTAAACACTTTTTGTATTTAATAAGTTTCTGCTTTCGGCTGAAGGTGATATAATCAATTCTTTATTTGAAATCGAAAAAATAATGTCATTGGTTGGACCCAATTTTACTCTGGTATTTATAATTTGATGTTTTCCCGTTAAACGAACATATTTGTTTAAAATTTTAGATATTAAAATCTTATTAAAATTTTGTTGAAATATAATTAATGAGTTAATTTGTCACTTTTTATGTTATTTACAGGTGGCTGTACCCCAAAGACCACGCAAAAATAGGAAAACTTTTTTCTAGAGACAAATAATTTTTATTATTGCTATTATTATTGAAAGCTAAGCCTAAAAGAGATTCTTGATAGACATAGTTAATAAATTCTAGCATGTGTTCTTTTGCTAAAACGTTGAAGTTGACTACTTTTTTCGTCACCCCAAAATCTACTTTAACTAAATTGGATGTAATTTCTTAACTGTTAAGAATTAAAACCTGATTTTTTTGAAGAAGACTGTTATTATAAATTGCTAATTGAATGAATGCATCACTGCTTACTTATATTTTAAGTAACACTTCAAATATACTACAAAAACCACATCATATGCACCCCAAAAACCACGTTGGTTTTGTAATGATTTTGGAAAAGATTTGAAATAATTTGATAAAATATTTATATAGTTTACTCTAAGATTTTACTCTAAGTTTTTATCTGTCTTTCTTAAAAATGTTTAAATTTTTATGTGGAAATACTGCCATTGAAGCATGTTATGTCTTTTTGCTTGTTCGTCATTTTAGAGTTTCGTTTATTATATTTATAGTACTTATTAATAGTGATTAAAATGAAGCCAATGCGTTACATTTGCGTATAAACAAAGTATGAAATCTTAGTACAAAAGCTGATGAGAGAAAACATTCTAATAAGAAAACATTCTAATGAAAGAAGTAAACTAATAATAATAAAATTGTGAGATGAACAAGATTAAAACAAGATTAAACTTTTATTTTTATTGCTCAAGATTAAACTTTTATTTTATCTTTTCTTGAGTTATAAAAAAATTGTTTCTTTTTCTGTTACTCTACAAGACACAACAGGAGTTACTCAACCTCTTGACCAAGTAAAAATGAACATTCATAAAGAGTATTGTAAATAGAAAGACTAAACGTTTTCAAATATGTTTTTCATTAAGAAAATCTTATATGTTAGTCATCTCCCTTAATTTTTTCGCCTGATAAAAGACGTGGTTCAGCAAGTTACTGAAAATCAAAGTTCAAATAAGCTACAGAACTAATAGATGATCTTCTTGAAAAAAATATACAACTGGAAGAAAAACTAGATTTTATGAAAACCAAAAAAATCAAGCCTAAATTATCAAAAGACATAATACGTGTTACCCAAGTATATAGTTCAATGACAGCAAACAATGCACTTTAGTTGAAGCTATAAAAAGAAAAAAGAAAAAGAAGGTACAGCAAAAAAGAAAGAGGAAGTTAATTTTTATAAAATTTATGCTTCAATGTAATTGTGTAATTGTGGGAGCATAAAATGTAAAGTTTCTGGCTTAAAGCAGTGTCCAACCTGTCTCAACGTTATGAATTCTGTTTGCAGCAAAGTAAATTGCAAAGTATGTGGGTGAAATACAGAAATGATCTTATTAGCAGGTGCTAGAAAAAAATGATGAAAATATTTTAAGGAGATATTTGTATAAATTTTGTGCAAAGTGAAAAAGATTGATTCTGGTTAAATTTTTTTTAAAGCACCTAAAAAAATCACATGTTAACTTGTACACTTTAAAAGTTTTTTAACAAGTTTCTCGTCTACTTAAAATGGAAATGGTTTGATTTATGTATAGAGTATATAAATATGAAGTAAACTAGATTAAGTTTGCAAATTTAGTCTGAAAGACTAAATTTGCAAATTTAATTCACTTTATTTTATAGAAATTATTCTAAAATATTCCAAAAGTTTTATAAAAGTTTTTAAATAAATTTAAAACGCTTGCAAAAAATTTTCCTTTATTGTTATCTTTGTTTTCTTCTATTTTAATTTGTTGCTGGAACTTTCCTGTATGAGAAAACATTTCTTTTATGGTTTTAAAATACAGATTTAAGTTTTAATAGCCATATAACAGACCTGTTTTTGGGGTGCATTTACCTGTATTTATTGTTTAAAAGGTGCATCTTTCGTAGCTTTGTTAAACTTGTTTAATTTTAAAGATATCTCCTTTTAGATATAGTCTCCATGCTAGAACAACAAATTCTAGATGCGGGCGGATATAAATGGTATATAGCCTTTTCCATAAGGGCTCGTTTCTTAATTGAAATGTATGCTTTAAAAGTCCAAGTATAGTATTTGCTTTTGACTATATAAATATGTCAAATTAATTATATGACTTTGCATGGAGCTAATGTGATCGAGACCGATCTGTAATTGGATGGTTCTAGTTTACTACCTTTTTTAAACATAGAGTTAACATTCACTTTAGTCAAAGCATTCGGAATACATCCAATATTATAAGAGAGTTGAAAAATTAGTTGCAATTGTAAAGAATATGATTCTTCCCACATTTTTAAGACGTAAGGGCTGATTCTATCTCCACCATCCGATTTCAAAGGATTAAGTTTTGACAAATGAGATTGCACTTTATCAATT